TCCTGTGATTTATGTGAAGCTATCAAAGAAATACCAACTATATATATCCGTTTTACGTGTATTATGCAGCACATGGGCTTTCAGAAAATATTCTACTATTGATTAGCTGAGGTGACTCATTGCAAGTTATTCATACATTTTCTTAAGATTGAGTTAGAAAACACCCCCTAAAAATCGATTTTCCTGCTGACTCATGCTCGCAAGGAATTTTGTACAGCACCTGCAAGTCCTGACACTAATCCCGAATTCTTAACTTCCATTTTTCACTTGCAGTTCTGGGAGATCATCTCCGATGAGCATGGCATCGATGCCACCGGCGCCTACCACGGTGACAGCGACCTGCAGCTGGAGCGCATCAATGTGTACTACAATGAGGCGTCCGGTGGCAAGTACGTGCCCCGCGCTGTCCTTGTCGATCTGGAGCCCGGCACCATGGACTCCGTGCGATCGGGACCTTTCGGCCAGATCTTCAGGCCCGACAACTTTGTGTTCGGCCAGTCGGGTGCCGGCAACAACTGGGCCAAGGGTCATTACACAGAGGGCGCTGAATTGGTGGACTCAGTGCTCGATGTTGTCCGCAAGGAGGCCGAATCCTGCGACTGCCTGCAAGGCTTCCAACTCACACACTCCCTTGGCGGCGGCACTGGCTCCGGTATGGGAACCCTGCTGATTTCCAAGATCCGCGAGGAGTACCCTGACAGGATCATGAACACATACTCGGTGGTGCCGTCGCCCAAGGTGTCGGACACCGTTGTGGAGCCCTACAACGCCACCCTGTCGGTGCACCAGCTGGTCGAGAACACGGACGAGACCTACTGCATCGACAACGAGGCTCTCTACGACATCTGCTTCCGCACCCTCAAGCTGACGACACCCACATACGGTGACCTGAACCATCTCGTCTCCCTGACCATGTCCGGCGTGACCACCTGTCTGCGATTCCCCGGCCAACTGAACGCTGATCTCCGCAAGCTGGCCGTCAACATGGTGCCCTTCCCACGTCTTCACTTCTTCATGCCCGGCTTCGCTCCCCTGACCTCCCGAGGCTCCCAGCAGTACCGCGCCCTCACCGTGCCCGAGCTGACCCAGCAGATGTTCGATGCCAAGAACATGATGGCCGCCTGCGACCCCCGCCACGGACGCTACCTTACCGTCGCCGCCATCTTCCGTGGACGCATGTCCATGAAGGAGGTCGACGAGCAGATGCTGAACATCCAGAACAAGAACAGCTCCTACTTCGTCGAATGGATCCCCAACAACGTGAAGACCGCCGTGTGCGACATCCCACCCCGTGGTCTGAAGATGTCCGCCACCTTCATCGGCAACTCCACCGCCATCCAGGAGCTGTTCAAGCGCATCTCCGAGCAGTTCACCGCTATGTTCAGGCGCAAGGCTTTCTTGCATTGGTACACCGGCGAGGGCATGGACGAGATGGAGTTCACCGAGGCCGAGAGCAACATGAACGATCTGGTGTCCGAGTACCAGCAGTACCAGGAGGCCACCGCCGACGAGGACGCCGAGTTCGAGGAGGAGCAGGAGGCTGAGGTCGACGAGAACTAAATTCGAAACGGAAATCAATCGAATTCTCGATCAATGTTTTGCGAAAAAAAAATGAAACGAGAACAGTTGTAATAGATTTGTTCTCTTAACAACGTAATCAATAAAGTCGGATCCAATTTTGTTCACATGTCTAAACAATTATGGTTTTTATTGTGTTTTCGTATGCATAATAAGAGAGATATTATTGAAAAAATGGGTTTTGTATGTCAAGAAAGCCGATTAATGTCTTGGGCATTAGTATTCATGTTAATAAGCTTATGAATGTTGGTTTTGACAAAAGCAAAATATTTCTACATTGTTTTACATTTTCTCAGTGTATTACTTTGTGATATTTATATGAATTCACACTGCAAATTTGTGTTTATTTCATGGTGTTTTCTCTCAGCTGAATACAATAGAAATCTTTTCACCGACTGTGTTTGTTTTGGACATGGGTATGTTTTGATGATTGATAATTTCCTTCGAAGCATTGCTTTATTTATAGACTCTTTTATTTATTGACAATGATTTGCTACCTACCTCAACTTTCGAGCAAATGTTGCAAAAACAGAAGTAGTTTGCCCTTGAAGAGGACATGACATGATATTTTCGACGTAGGAAGTGCGCCTACGTACCATTGTGGTTTAGTCGGCCTTGCATGCAATAAATGTAATAAATATGTATGTATATATTTTATATTAGACTTATCGCTGTAGTTTCCCACACACGATTTCCATGAAGGTGGGTTGTGTCTTTTGTTTTTATTCGAAACTTCAAAATCCACTTTGCATGTGTCATAAATAATGAGTCATGAATCATAACCTTAATTCACTTTAATAAGCATAATTGCTTGGTTGAAAAAACTTTATTAACTCTATTAACTATTTCTGTGGAGCAGAATTGCTTGATGTGCTAATTAGAATAGATTAATAAAATATTAAATGAAAAATAAAACTGAGAGCATGTAAGTAATATAAATTATTTATATATGAAGCTTGGATAAAATTTAATTGTTTCCAAAGATTGTCACCTTATATACTATAATATGGTTTTGATCTTCAAATGAAACATTTTTAATCATTTATATATGCAAAAAAGGCAATAAAAAATAATTTAGAAATAAAATATTTAAAAATCGATTACTTATCGACTGGCAACACTGCGTTGCCAGGGCCACCGAAAACAGTGTGCACAGTGTGTATTGATTGTGTGTGTGTGCGTTTCGTGCGGCCGTGTGTGAGTGTCACTGACTGATATTTGACAAGTAAGATAAAATATAAATAATAGGGCGATATTCGCGACCCGTGCTAATCCCATCAACGATTTGCCGCCCCCCTTAAGATGATAGCAATGGACGAGCAGCGCGGCGACAAGATCTACGGCGGATGCGAGGGTCCGGATGCCATGTACGTGAAGCTGATTTCCTCGGACGGCCACGAATTTGTCGTCAAACGCGAGCACGCTCTCACCTCCGGCACAATCCGGGCGATGTTGTCCGGACCGGGTCAGTTTGCCGAGAACGAGGCCAACGAGGTGCATTTCCGGGAGATACCGTAAGTAGGGTGGCTCCTTCCAGGCCCATGTCCATTTGCTCCGCCGGCTGTGCCTCTCACCTGCACGGCGCCCAGTCATCCCACGTCTGTGTGACCCAATGACCGGCGAGAAATTTGCACAGATGTACGGTACATACGCAATATGTACGCAGTTGCACGGGTGCATGCATGTACATACAGCACACCCAACTAAAGTCCACGGATTACAGATCGCTCGGAATGATTCAAATCTGTCCGCTTTACACGTAATCTCCGGCACAATTACGCGCATTAGATTAGCACACAGTCCGGCATCGATTGCTGCTACTAACAAGCTTGATGGTGGTATTTCAAATGCTAGTCAAACGTTAGCAATTTAAAAAGAATGTTATGTTTATTTGAAATGCATTCTGATTGATATGTACTGAAAAGCATAATTTGTAACAAAATGTAAGCTATATCAACTCCTAAAGTAAACCAACTTATAAATTCAAGTGCTCAAGAATTCGCGTTCTGTTTCTGTCAGTTTATGAGTCGCTGTTAAAGTAGTAGTCCACCGCATCGAAATGGGTTTCTATAACTATTAACACTATTAATTCGTTTCAGATCCCACGTCCTACAAAAGGTCTGCATGTACTTCACCTATAAAGTGCGTTACACCAACAGTTCTACCGAAATACCCGAATTCCCGATCGCTCCAGAGATCGCATTAGAACTCTTGATGGCGGCTAATTTCCTAGACTGCTAAATAATATTGGTTAATTTGAATTTACATTATTTACAAGTGAACGAAGGAGGGCTAGACTGCGTGAAGCGTAATTCGCCCATGTTAATTTGTAATTAACGAGAAGATTGTCCCTGCGAGAAAATAAATTTCTGTTGATTTCCTAAACGATTCGATTTGTAATGCGCTTGCTTTTTCCAAAAACATTGCATTTTATTAAACATCAAGACCAGTGCAGAGCGTCGCAGCTCTATTTGGAGTGCTTGGACCTGGATTTGGCGGCATTTTTGTTGTTCAACATGGCAAAACGCATTTGCTGGATGAGCCATTGGACACCCTCGCCCAGACCCTCGCCGGATATAGCGCTGCTGGAGCAGATGTGCCAGGGCTTATCCTTAATGTTCTCCAATCTGAGCGCTGCATACAGATGATATATCATAAGACACACTCCATTATGAACTTTTAAGTGAGTTAAGACAAGCACCTGCTGCTATTTTCACACTGGATAGCGAGTCCTCCATGTCCATTTTGTTGCCATAGAAGAGGATTGGCACAATTCGGTTGCTCAAGTCCGGATGCTGCAGCACCAGATCCAGCTCATCCTTGACCACCACTGAAATATAAACATTGAGTGATATGCGGGCATTGCTAACTTGTACATCCAATACCGAATCTCATGCGATCGCTGGAGTCAATGACGTATATGATTCCGTGGCAGTTCTTAAATTGGTGCTCCCAAAGATTCCTGTACCGCGTCGCACCGGACATGTCGATTGCCTTTATGGAAACACCCGACATGCCTGCTCCAATGGGATATATAGTCACAATCGATGCTTTGATGATGATTCGATGACCACTTACTGTAAAACTGTTCCACCATGAAGCCAACTGTGGGCACCACAATGGATGTCTGCTCGCTGGACTTTTTGAAGTGATTAATTATCGAGGACTTTCCACTGTTGTTCAGTCCCAGCACTAGAATCGTCATTTTATCCTTTTTAATCTTTATCAAGTCGGCCAAATTGTGCAACATTCCCATTTTACTGGCGGACAGGCATCAATTTTATTTTGTTTACGGCGATTTTCCTGACGTGTTTGGCCCTGCAAAGGACTTTTAATTGCCATGGCAACCCGCTTGGTGTTGGCATCGATTTATTGAAACTTATGGCCACCTTCAACTTTGGCTGCCGCTTCCGATTCGTTCGCCCCCACAAATTTTCAAGTTCACCTAAGGCGTGACTTTGAGTATTGGCTCGGTAAAAAAGCAGGGGGACGGGGGAGGTCACCCATCATGCCCAAGATGGAATAGTTTTGGCCGTAAGTACACCTGCACAGTGAAGGATTTCCCTGCGACATACATTGACATTCAGCTTTTGATTGATCTCTTCTTTAAAGAGTGATTTCGTTGATATGAATTAACTAATAGAAAACCTATTGAAATGACAAAACTCAGTATTTCTTAACTTCCAAGGATTTGCTGCTTTTCATACAAGTTTTTTCATTTAAATGATTTAAACTGCTTGGCTTTTTGATATTCACAAATAGTAAAAGAAATCTTTAATTCCTGTGACTGATGTCTGAATGTCTTCAAACTTAAAACGGGATAAGTAATCCCAGAAATGGTTTCTTTCCAGATAGCTCGAAACAGTGGATAGTGTCAGTAGAAAGTATTGGCGATAAATAATGCTGATCAGAACTACGAGTTTTACGTGTTGACACAAGCCAAGGTTTATTGTAGAATTCTTCTTAAAAAACATGGTTACGGATAGAGCTCCTCTACTTCTTGGTGTTCAAGATGATACCATCGTATTTCTGCTGGAACCACTTCATGGCATCCTCCTTGGTGAGGCGGTGCTGGAAGCCGACAGTGCCGGACTTGCGCTTCCTGTGGTTCACGTTGTAGCCTGTAAGATAAACCAGAGTAGCGGGTAAGTAATCTACTTGATGGCAATCCAGGAGACGCTGTCGAAATTGTACCGTGTGGCCTCGCATGGAATGAGGCAAGGCCAACTGAGCACATCTTCTTTGCTATGCGCACATTCACTGAGCATCAGAGCCTCGATTGGCAGAGATACCTAATTAAGTGCACGATTGGGAACGGAGGAGACAGATGCTTACCAGGACGGCCGAGGACGACGTAGAAGTCCAGACCATAGATACCGATGGAGGGATCGTACTTGATGCCCAGATCGATGTGTTCCTGGATGCCGAAACCGAAGTTGCCGGTGGAGGAGAAGTTCTCCCGACGCAGCTCGTACTCGCGCACCTTCAGGCCACGCTCCAAGATCTCCTCGGCCTTGGCGCCGCGCACCGTGCAGTGGACAGCGATCTTCTCGTTACGGCGAATACCGAACGAACGCACCGTGTAGCGGGCCTTGGAGAACACTGGCTGCTGACCAGTCAGCTGCTCCAGCACCTGTTTGCATGGTAGACGGGGTTACGGAGTACTCCAGTTAGCCAGCGGTCATGGTTTTTCTGCGTCTTGGTCTATCTTACCTTGGCGGCACGGGTCAGCCTGTCACCGGACTCGCCCACGCAGATGTTCAGGCAGAGCTTGCGGATGTGCAGATCCCTCATCGGGTTCTTCGCGGGATCGCGCTTGATCTTCTTGGTAACAGCCTGCAAAAACAATCAAGGAAACGCGTCACTTCTTGTGGTTCCATCGTAAACACACCACAGCGTACAAATTTTGCATGGCAAAAATATGGTTGAAAATATGTCGATGCGTGCATCGCTTGTGGGTCAACCTACCGCCATTGTGGTATGTAGGAGTGAAAGCTGCTCACAGGTATCCCTCGCTGCAAATAGACGGTTTAAAAGTGGTTAAATAAAAACATCGGCAAAAAAACGCGGAGCACTCACCGGAAACTTGTAAGAAAAGAAGGAAAGGTTAGTGTGGCCGCACTGAAGCGCACGAATGGGCCTAAAAAACGCTCGACACGTGCTGTTGTCGTGCTGTTATCGGACTATCGTGCTGTTGTGCGCACGCTGTTCCATCACTAGCGGTTAACATAGCAAATGGTAAATAAATGGGGTATTCCACATAATGTTAAGCGCTGAATCTGAAACACTTTAGTCTTCTTTTGGACAATGAACAATAAATGTGGCAGATCATTGGGTTTATTTTATTGCGCAAACACTTAAAAGAAAGCATATTTAATTATTTTGAGATTTAAAGTAGCTTGATTTGTAATATGATTGTCTTTGAGCGCAAAATGCAAAAACCGAATTTTAAAACTAACTCCATTATACATTAAAGCCAAAATACTAAACAGCGCATTAGGGATATACATTGAAAAACTTGAAGTAAACGTCCATAATAGTGTATTTGGATTATTCATTTAAGTAATAAAGTATATTTCATCGAAGAGTTCGTCAACTTTGAAGTGTGTAGTATCAATCCGTGTGTAGAGCTTAGTCGATGGACTTCATCTTGCAGAGGTGGTTAACCGGTATCATCTTGACCTCGTCGTTTATCTTGCACACGAGCACATCGCCCTCCTGCTTGGACAGCACTCTGCCCACGGACTCGCGCTCTTCGCCGTAGATGACCTTGAATTCGTCGCCACTGTTTGGTGGCACTGGCGCCAAGTGCTCGCTGACAATGGACACACTGCGATCCTCCTGGCGCAGGAATACGGAGCACACACCGTTCGAAACGGTGCGGATGATGCCCGTTTGCCCAACGAGATCGGTGTCGTCGTGCGTGTGAATGCGGACTTCAATGTCCGTGGTGCACCAGTCGCCCATCGAGGAGTCCAGACTGGCTCCAGGTGTCTGGGGATTGTACGGCGACTGCGGTATGCCACCCGGAGTATTCGGTGAGTAAGTCGATGGCGACGGAGTGTTCATGTAGCCAACAGGATACGGCGACGGAGCAGGGCTGGGGCTGGGATTGAATGGGCTGTAGCTCCTGTCCGATCCGTACAGAGTGCCAGGAGTTTGCGGGGCAAACTGGGAAGTCATCTGGTAGCCAGGGGTACCTTAAAGATTGGATAGCGTTACAATCTGTTGTAAGGAACAATACGTTAAATAAGTACTTACTTGGATTGTAGCCAGGGCTGGGGCTGGGCTCCTCAAGGGAGTAATCGAAATCGTTGTTCCTGGCTGGGGTTGTGTTTGCCGTAGGATCCCAAGCGCCATGGCGAGGTGTCATGCTGCCATCGTGCGATGGTGTCATTGTGCCATAAGGAGTACGAGTATCCGTATCCCAGTTGGGCGTTTGGCTTCCCACCAACGGCGTTTTCGATCCGGCAGCGGTATAACTGGGAGTCTGTGCTCCGTAGCCGGGAGTGCGAGCTGGGGTGCGTCCATATGTGGAGACGCTGCCCTCCTTTCCGGTGACTCCCACAATGGCAATATGATTCCGGTCCACCGAAATCGTTTGGCATGAGGTATGTAGTTCCACACGAGCCGTGCTCTCAGTGGCATCCTTCACAATTCCCACGGAGCCCTTGTAGGGTCCTCCACTGATCTTAATGGTTTTACCCAAGATCTCGCGATCACGGGTAACTCGGAAGCCACCTCGTCCACCCCGTGCGCCACCACGAGCTCCACGACCACCGGATGGATGCATCGGCGATTGAATGCGCGGCGACATGAAACCCAAGCCACCCAGAGTGCCCGCATTATTAACGTTCGTCTTGCTGCCTCCAGCCAACTGCAAATGCCTGGTCTTGCACACAAATATTCCACCGTTCTCCGTGTACATGCGGCAGTGCAGAAAGGCCAAACTGCGGTACAAATGCTTGATCTCGCCGGAGCGTCCCTGAAAGAAGAATTGCTTATAAAAAGGCTCCAAATTGGCGAGCATCAAGTGACTTACTGCATGGGGTCCCTCCATCACCTTGACAATATCACGACGGCGAATCTGGTTCTGATCGGCATCCAGAGCCACAGTATTGCGGTTCTCCCGTCGCTTGTGCAATGCAGTTGGCTTGCATTCGATGCACTTACCGTTCATGCCCAAGACATGGAAATTCTCCCGCTCCAATCGCACAATGACGCCCACATTCTGGGAGCTGTTATGATAGAATTCTAATAAGGTCTGGTCCACAGGTCATTACATTCTTAAACTTACTCCAGTTGCACCAAATCACCCCACTGGAACTGGCCGAGACAGTCGACACCTGTGGCCACATCCGAGCACAGTTGCAAGTCCCTTGGCAGCACCTCCAACTCGTGATTGGTTAGATCGGAGACGAGCACCACTCTTGTAGGCTCAACGCGAATAATGAGGCCAGTTTCGCCTTCGTAACGACCAGCCAACACCCTGGCGTGATCTCCTGTCTTGAAGTATTTGCGCAACTCAATCGCTTTGAAAATCAAAGGATCCTGTAAAAATCACACGTTTAATTACTTGATTTCTTTGTCTTTTGCAATACCAACCTTCAGATCTTGATGTTTAGGCATAACAGTAATCATAGTGCCGTCAATAGCCACAATCTTGGCCTGCAAGTTTTCTAAATCTCCCACGCAGACTTCAACGTTGTCGCCCATTGAGAATGAGTGAGCCGAAGTGGGATCATCCTTCACAGTGCCCATAATTTCCAAGTTGACCTCTACATAGGTAAATTTCCAAGTTAATATGACCACCAGTAGCTAAAATTTCTATATTTTACCTTCTGGAGATTCTTCAAAGCGTTCTAGCTCGGCTAGAGTGGGCTTTACACCGTCCGAGAGAATGGCCGACATGGTGAAGTTCTTATAGAGGAATCCCTTGCGCGAATACCGATTTCCCTCGAAGAGCAGGAAATCGCCATCTGAGTGTACTTCACCTCCAATTGCCCTAAACAAAAACTCGATTAGATCTTGAGTGAATGCAATCTGATGGAAATACGTACCTTACTGCCTCTGGATCAAAAGTTTTGGCTGCCGGGCGACGTTTTTTCTTGCGCTTGCTATCGTCGCTCTCCTATTGAATAGTAAATGTTTGGATCTTAATACCATGTAATAAATGTCTATGATCGCCTTACCGTTGCTGTTGTTCTTAAAGCCCCTCGCATTCGTGTGTAGTCAATGCGAGGAAGCAACTTAAGATGTACTTGGTTCTGGGCCAAATCCACGTAGTCCACCTGTGCGATGTCGTCCTTGTAGAGGCCGCGCTTCAGGCGCACCCATTGCTTCACTTTAAGGCCAACCTGCTCCTTGACCACCTTAAGCACATCCGTCATCTCCTTGATGGGCACCATTTCCTGCTTCCATTTGCCCATCCGAAGATTACCAACGTTGTCTATACAAGTTTTAACATGGGTCTGCTTGTAGGCCTCCAGATAAATGTATCCCTTGACGCCCTCCGGTGCGATAATAGATTTGATTTGCAATGGATCATCTGTGTTCAGGTAGGTCAAGAACTTTCGCATTAGAAGAAGTGCAGTGGCCTTCTCCTCTCCTATCCGACATTTCACCATCCACAAATTCGGATCTCTGTGCGGAGTACATAGAATATAATGGGTTTCGCTTGGAAAGATTTGGAAACTCACTTGATGCCGGGCAATAAAGTTTGTTGGGTAATTTCGTCTGACATCTCTTCACCGCCATCTCCGAAGTGGCGTTTTGCAATGGACTCATCAGCGTACTTCTTACGGAGGTACTCCTCTAGCTCGTCCTCCTTTTGGGAGCTAGAGTATGGGAAACCGATAAGATTGAGACCGGGTAATTTTCTAAGCTTTTACTTACTCCCAAAGGTTTGTGCCTCGTCGTCGAATTTCAATGTCCCTGGCCGTGGGACCCAGCTCATCAATCTCGT